CATGTCAGGGGTTCTGTTTTGAATACAAGGAAAATAGATTTGACACTATGATTTACATTTACATTTAGTCATTTTGCCGACGCTTTTATCCAAAGCGACTTACAATTGGGGAATACATAAAGCGATTCTTCTTAAAGAGGCAAACAGACACAGGAAGTGCTTGAAATACCAAGTTTTAGGCATTGTTCAAATAAGTACAAGCTAGAAAAGGGAAGGAATAAATAAAGAGAAAGAGATGATGATATGAAAAGTGATTTAGACTGTGAAACTCAAAAAAGAGCTATTAAAGTAGTCCATGTGACTCATACAACCCATATTCTGAGTCTTATGAAGTCATATGTCTTTGAATGAGAAACAGACTGAAAATCCATTATCTTCTGACAGTCTTCCCCTTTTACACCTCTAAAAAAATGTTTGCACCAAGTTTGATGCCATTGGTGTGAAATGCCACAGGTTTTCTCTTGTCATGTGACAAACTATGAATAAATGGACAAAAGTGAGAGTTTGATGGCTATACCAGAGGAGACATTATTAGTAAACACTGACACATTTTTCAGACCGTTCCTCACACAAAGCTATCAAATGACTTCAGAAGACTTCAATGTAGCCACACAAATGGTAAGCGCTGCTTTTATGACATTTTAATGCTGCTTTTTTGTCCTTTATGGAGCTTGGCAGTATAAAATCACAATCCGCTTTCCTTGTCTGAGGGAAGTCCTGCCTCTATTCATGTTTCATGATGAAAAAATAATATGGGGCTAGAATGACATTTGGGTTTTTATATGATGTGTGTGTATATACACATGTATAAAATAAAAATGAAAGAAAGTAAATGTAATCAACATTACTTGGGACAATATTTGATCAAACAGTAAAAAAATAATATTGTGTAATAATATAACAATTTAAAGTAACCGTTTCCTGTTTTAATATACTTTAAAATGTAATTTATTCCTGTGATGACACAGCAGATTTTTCTATTATTAGTTTTTTTGTGGAAACATTATAATTTGTTTACAGGATTCTTTGATAAATAGAAAGAATAGCTTTTATTTGAAATATGAATCTTGTGTAACATTATAAATGTCTTTACTGTCACAATAAAAAAAAATTATATAGTAAAATGTCACATGCGAGACTGTCTCCGTGGCATTTATAAATAATGTACGATATTTGTAAGAAACTTTATCTTTAAAAATATGTTTTACCATTTTTTGTGTAAATAGGGATTAAGATTGTGCACACATGTATTTAAAGGTGTAAGGAAATATACCTTCGGTTTCATAGACAAGGCTTAAGCCTAGTCTCAGACTAAAATGCATGTCTGGGCTGTTTTAACTGAAAGAAACTTGCACTGACTGATCTGTATAATATATCAGATTCATTGGTTTGTCTCAAGATGCACACCAGTAATGTTTTTATCTAAGGCATATTTCTAAAAACGACTTAAATGTCCTAGTTGATCTATGGCCTAATCCTGGCTTAACCTAAGCCCTGTCTGTGAAACCGTGCCATAGAATTTTATTGGAAACTTAATAGAAATTATATCTGATTGTCCCATTGGGATGAAAAAAATTTCAGTTTTAGATGAATTATACCTTACACCCCGCTATTCATAAACTCATAATAATTGACCACTAATTTGAATTTGAGACGATTCTCCTTGAATGGAAAGCAGAGCCACAGCTCCTGTGGAGAGGCTCCTCCTCTGTTTCTCTCTCCTTCTGTCAGTCATAATTCCATATATTGACTCTTAGATGAAAACCAACCCAAAAACCCTCCCTATTTGACCTCTTCTGCCTTTTGTTGTAGACTGTCGGCAGACCCTGTTTATGCTTTGGATGTTGTGAAGTAATTAGAAATTGTATCAAGCTGTGAGACTCATAATTACTCATCTCTCTCCCTCCTTCTTTCTCACCCTCTTTAGTCCTCTCTGTGGAATGCCATCTGTCCTCCTCTCTTGCTCTCCATCCTTTCCTCCTTTAATTTTACCCATTTAATTACCTGTCTGTGCCTTTCTTCTCATGGGCACTGTGCGCCGTCTTGTTTCGTTTCATCTCTTTCATTGCTATGGTCTAATAATTCTAATCTGCTCACTGTATTTCAGTGCATGTGTGAGAAAGTGCTGAGAATGATGGATGTTCTCAAATCTTAAGTGTACAGTCTTCATGTCCTCTTGTGGTCTCGCAGGGCTTGCGAGATTTTTGAACGGGTGTGAGTATGAATATCAGCCAGGAATTTGAAGGGTTGGTTGTTTGATCTCAGTGTGTGTTGGCAGCCATTTATCAAGGATGCTTTACTCTCCAAACACTACACGGCTGTGTGTGTGAGAGGCGGTGTGTATCCAAAATGTGTTACGTTAGGAAATTTGGCAGCGGCGACAGGCCTAAGGACAAATTGGATTGCACTTCTGCGAAATTTGAGGATGGGATTGTGGAACCCCTGTTGGGCTTTATGTGGTGTGTGTGTCAAGATGTGGCCCAGTAAGAGGCAACCTGCTGTCTTGATGCCTTCCTTACCACAATGTACTATAATTTCCTCAAAATATACCATGGTTACTATTATTGCTGCAAGAAAAATGTGGTAACTTGGTATTAGCCACAACTGTCATTAAAAAATTAAACAAACATTATTTATGGTTTCAGTTTTTATGAATAACATACACTTAGTGTCCCATTACATACATTTAGTGTCCCATTAAAGACACATCCAGTTTCCTTTGGAGAGAGAATTGTTAGATAAACTATTATCTATTAACAAAAATCAGTATGGAAGTAGTTTGTCGTGAAGATGTGTACTGTATCTTTTAAATCCATCTGTCAAGCTCAATCGTTCAACCCTGTTACTGAAGTTATTGTATGACAAGCAAATATTTATTTTGTTAATGGGAACTAAACATGTCAATGGGAACTAAACAATATATTTTTTATATTTAATGTTTATTACTTGTAATCAACAAAATGATGCAGATCTTTCAAACTGTATTCAGTCATGTACCTGAGTTTGGTAATAAGGTGGCAAAAACAAAATGGCATATATATTATTTAGTTTGACCTTCTGAGGTAGACAAACAACATTTCCTGACACATGTTATATCTAACTTCACATACATGTTCATACAGTACACCCATGTAAAGCAATAAATACTACAGTAGATGTAGCAAATCTCAACTGATTTTTTATTTTTTTTATTTTGTCACAAAATGTTACTTTATTATCACCCAGCTCTTTATATATAGCCTGAATTTCATTTTTGAAAATGGGGGGAATTCCCCTCTTAGGTGTCTCTTGTGAGAGGGGAAGCATCTTTCACACAGGAGTCCACTACTGATCCGTGGCTGTTTACCACAAACACAACATTTATCCATTATTTTTATTTAAAATCCAAACATTGTCACTGAAAATGCTTTTTCAGCATTGCAATTTTTTTTACACAGTACAGTATTACAATCTTTCACAGACATGTTTAAAGACAATAAATATAAGCAACACATTATTCAATGCTTTTTACTTTTGCATTTACTTCTAGATTTATATATTAAGTTGCTCAAGCAAGTGGCAAAACATTTAAACTACTTTCTTACGTTATCACAAACTTACCATTGACAGAAATAGTCAGCTCTACTGCCTTTTCTTTTTTGCATTTAAATCTTTATTACAAGCAATCCTGCAGTTCATAAAGAACTTTGTTTTCCTACCTCCACGAGTGCATCTATTATTGCCTTGTTTATCTAAAAGTGCTCTTTCTCTTTAAACCTAGCCAAAAAGCCATGCGTGTTGACTGTGAAACACAGTAGACTTTAATAATATGCATTTGTGGTGTAATTACTACATTTTCGTGTCAATCCATATGCATATTTACTGCAAAAAAATGTGCCGTTAATTTAATTCAGCCCTTGCAGTGCAGCAAAAATAGACTCGGTGCGGAAACTATCTCTGCACTGCTGCAGACGCACCGCTACTGGAACGCACTGCCGGACAGCAACCGTGTGCAGTGTGCACGCTTTATTAATCTGTTAACATGAGCGCGGAAAAAATGCGCACCACATTCGCACTGCAAACGGAGTAATGTAAACCTGGCATTATGTGTGTGCGCTGCGAGTGTGCATGAGCGTACGGTCTCCAGGAGAGCGCGCGAGCGCTGAATGGTTAAACACTGGCAAGAATTAAAAAGTAATGCGATTTATAAATGTTAGTGATGATGTGACACTGCCTCGATTGTGCAAGTTATAATTCCTGTGTCAACGGTGCAGCGTGCAGCTCGCTTATAGACAGACGCGATGTGGTGATTTGAAGACATTTGCGTATTTTGAGAGAGAGAGCGCGCGCGCGGTGATTCACTCATGTTGTTTGTGAAATTACGTCTCACACAAGGTTTCAAATTACTTTATAAGTTATTTTATTAAGAAATATGAAGGAGTACCTCACCTTCAGCATTATAATTATTTCACCCGTGCCGGACAGAGACTGAGACGGTGCCGCTGCATGTCGTGCCAAACCTCTCACGGCAGCGTCATCAGCTTGAGATCGTTTTTTTGAGATCGGCCTTTTTAGAGACCGTCGCTCAATCATCCCAAAGCGATTATCGGCCGATAGTGATCAGTAGCCAATCAATCTGAGCACCCCTAAAACATAACATATTTTTCATAAATATATACATGCATGTGTTTGTATTTATATATACATAATAAATATAAACAGTATACACACGTATATTATGTAAACAAAAACTTTTATTTTGGATGCGATTAATCGCGATTAATCGTTTGACAGCACTAATATATGAGTATGTCCAACTTTATCTGCATACATACAGTACACATGTACAGTACATCTGCTGTGACACTAGGGCATCACACCGTGTGCTAAATAAAAACAATTTTTTTAAAATTTCATAGTATTTTTTTAATTTTTTTTTTCATTAGGATGTAAATTGTGCCTGTGAAACTCTGAAAAGTTTGTAATTCTCATATCTCAATCCGTTCCATCTCTTTCCTCAGGTCAGTTATGAGAATGCAGGCACAGTGGAGTTCCTGGTGGATAAACACGGTAAACATTACTTCATCGAGGTCAACTCCCGTCTGCAGGTGGAGCACACGGTTACTGAGGAGATCACAGAGTGAGTGTCTCTCTGTCTCTGAAAAAGAATGGGTTGAAAAGTACAAATCAGTCAGTAATGTTGCAGTGTATCTCGCTGATTTTATTGAATATATGTTGATTTTTATTTTTTTATGTATATAATATATATTTTATATATAATCTTTTAGTATTTAAATGTTGGCAGGGCAAGTAAAAATTGTCTTTAATTCTTCATCATTCATCTTTAAATTTTTTGTGCCGGTGTTCTTGACTTCTCTCAGCCTCACAAATATATATATAATTTACACAAATCTGAGTGTTTATCAAATGCATTATGATTCCATTTATGACCACCTGACTGTCTGACATTTAGATTCTGAGAAGATATGCTTTTTTTTCGCAAAATAATGACTCGGCTAAATATTCGTTGACATTTATGAAGACATTTTGTGTGGCCAAATGCAATTAAACTTGCATAACTGTTGGGCGATGTTCAGCAGTCCCATAACACTAATTAACACTCAAAATTTGTATTGTACTCCGGCTGTTAAAATGTCAGTGTCGAAAAAAACATGATAATAAGTGCAAGACATCATCATCTTAGACCCTTTGAAACCTGTAAGATTCTCAGTGGGCTTGTATCTGAAACGCATCCTTCCTCATTTTAGTAAAAAGCTCAGATAGAAGTGTGCCTTGAGAGGAGGGAAGTGGTTTGTTGTTATCTTTTTCATCCCAGAGGCTAAAGACACACAGGAGACTGAAATGTGCTTTTTTTTTATATATGGGCTGAATTAATATTGTGCTGAAAGGAAAAAAAATGATTATTAAAAGGTCAAAGGATTAATGAATGTGTTAGAATTTTAAGTTTATTCACATGCATGCTTGGATACATGAGTACATGTGATTCTGACATTTCTGGACGATTTTCCATCTTTGCTGCTGGTTCTGACTTAGTGAATTCGTAGAGCGTGACTGTGCAGACGTACCAGGGTTCCATTCATTATAATTGTCCATCTTGTTGCATGAAATTGAAGCTGTCAGCTTGCAATTGGCATCGTGTGGCAACCCAGCTGTGAGAGAGAGGCCTTGGAAGCGCATGACTGTAATGAACTTGATTTCCAGCTCTAGCCAGCAGTGGGGCTTGTATGCCAAGACCTTCACCAGCAGCCACCTTCTGTTCCTCATACTGAGTCACTCTACATCCCACCTGCTCTGCTAACTCGCTGGCTTTTACGCTGGTCCGGGATCAAGTCTTCACACTCTGAAACTTGACTAGTCCCATTACACTGTGTGCATTCATGTTATGTCCAATGCCAGCCATTCTCACTCTTTTCAGCATGTGTTTTTATGTTATATGTACTATTATATTAAATTATTATATAAATCAGGGTTCCTACGGGGTTTGGAAAAGTATGGAATTTGATTTAATTATTTTCCAGGTCTGGAAATGTATGGAAAAAAGAAAGCAGAGTATGGAAAAATATTTATGTTTCCAGACTTTTGCCCCTATTAGTTTTTTTCTAATAAAAAATTAAGAATTTAATGAAAATACATTTATTGTACGAGAAGTGAGATTTCATGGCAGCTGTTTAGTGATTCTTTAGTGATTGTCAAATATGCATTTTTTGATTAGCCTATGCAAAATGCAGGTTATAAGCATTTTGGGTTTCTTCTGAATTCTTAGCACTGTATTACATAGCCTTTATTCATAGTGATGCACAAAGGAAATAGGTTATATAAAACTAGAAATTGTAATGCATAAGCATGCAAAAAATTCCCATGTGCATGTGAATAGTTTCTCAAGGGCATGCACACACAAAAAAAGTTTATTGTGTGCATGTAAAAGTCTGTATTTTTAGTCTGTATTATTATTTTAGGGACTCTGTAGGTTGTCACTTCGAGAAAATCAATAAAAAAAAAAAATTATATATGTATATATATAATATTAATAACAGCATTTTACATTACATTATTTACAATATATATAAAAATATTTACAGATGACTGTACTATATACCAAAAGCTGAAAATAATGCCCTATGAACCATTTATGTTAAATATGGTCTGAAAATCTACTGAAAGGTTTGGAAATTTGAGTCTGGAAAAGTATGGAATTTTAAAATGAAAAATGGGTAGGAACCCTGATAAATTGTATAATCATTACAGAATTTTCATTTTTGGGTGAACTAACCCTTTAACATTACTCAGTACTTATATGTATAATTACACCATAACAAGGACACCTTAAAATAAAGTGTAATCTTTTCTTATGGTCAAATTTGTAAACAGATGTGCTGCTTAATATTTTTGTGGAAACCATGATACATTTTGATTCTTTGATGAATAGAAAGTTCTAAAGAACAGCATTTATTTGAAAACAAATCTTTTGTAATGTTGTAAATGTCGTTAGTGGCACTTTTGATCAATTTAATGAGTATTTGGTGAATAAAAGTGTTTTTTAAATAAATACTTACTGACCCCAAACTTTTGAACAATAGTTTGTAGCAAATTGGCTCAAACGGGAAATATTTATAATTAATTATAACTGGTTATAAATAATAATAAATATTTAATTAGATCTTAGAATTAACTGTAGCAGAATCAATATTACAATTATTTGATCTGTCCGTCCTCCGAGCAGACAATATAATCACTCCGAATTGTGAGCAGCACACAGAGGCAATCAATTGAGAATATAAGGGATTTAATAAATGAAGCTATAGCTAATGTACAACTAAACTAAGCAAAACACATATATACAGAATGAAGGAAAGTAAGAACTGCTGGAAAATCAAACTCAAGAGGAGAGTTTTGAGGAGTCTTAGAGAGTGTCCGTCTCAAGAAGAAAGATTTTGAGCAAAGATTAGTCTGAGCTAATGACTTTTGATAGTTAATACCAGGCGTGAATTTTTTGAGCGGGAGAAGTTTTCTTTGTCTCCCTTTATGGCCCTTTGCATGTTTATGGCTGGTGTGGAGGACTGGTGCAGTTTTACCCAAAATATAGTACAAATAGTATGATGCATTTCACAATCACATACTGTACATCATTGTTTGAGGAATAAAGAGCAGATCATATTGATACCAAGAAAGAAACATTTAGAATATATTAAACCAGAGATACATTCATACACCTGAATATCAGCATTTAGGGCTTAACTAATACAAATAACGAGTGGTAACTCAGCTAATCTAATAGGGAAACGTACAAACAACACATGCATATA